TTGAAAAATTCTTTCACTGTTTGGAAGCTACACTATTCCCGAGAGACATAGGCTATAATTTTTTTTTGAAAAAAATTAGGGATCCTTACTAAATCTCCAATAATGTAACCCAAGGTGTAAAAAAAATACCTAAAATATTCTTTACATATTTTATATATATTTTTAACTATTATAGTTAAGCCGCAATAAGTGTTATTTTATTTATAAAAATAAAACCACGTCGTTGAAATTTTTGTTAAAGACCCGACTTAATTTGTTTGTTAAACATTTTAACTCCTTTTAAATAGAGTTTTAATCTTCTATATATATAAAAATGAATTGCTGTTCGTTAGTCTCGCTAAAAATTGAGAACGGCATAAATATGAAAATGCTCGGAATTATATAAAAACAAACAATTTTGTTTTTTCTTTGATGTCTCCCCCGTCGGACAAATTCCTTTTGTTTTTTTTTTGTTTTTTTTAACTTAAGTTAGGTCTTTTATTTATCGATTGAGGCATTACGAAGTCTGCCGGTTTAGCTAGTTACTAATAAAAAAATCTGCTGGATTAAAGACATTTAATGATTTATAATAATTTTTTTTAGTTCACACTGTACTGACGATTTTAGGTTGAGCAGGTAATAATGAATATGATATTTTAGAATACAAATTTGTTTTTCTACAAACATTCTAACAAAATTTCACTAAACGAATAGCAAAACGGAAACTGAAATTTAAAAACAACAAAAGATTTTGTAATGAATTCGTATCATCAAAGTTTTATGTGGAACTCGTACTACAGCATCGTAAAATGGCTTGTAAAACAAATTGATAGACCTAAAGTCAATAAAGATCAAATCTTCGAACATTATTCCGGCTTCCTCGTTTACATTTACTTTGATTACTTCAAATCGATTTTGTTTTTAATTCAAAGTGCTTCATAAAGTTTCGTCTCTATGTTTTTTTTTAAAATAAACAGTTCCGTTGTATTTTTCTTAAAAACAAATTAACTGGCGATCAAATATGTAATTAACGTACAATACAGATATATGCTAAATACTTGCCCTATTATTTTTTAGGAAGCTATTAAAATAAACTACAATTTAAAATACGCTTTGTAGACCATAAATCTCGAGAAATACTGTAGTGGGAAGTTCTTTTTTTTCTTTTTTTTTTCCTATCTATGCTGATAGCCATGAGAGGCTATTTCATGTAGGTGAGCTCACGGGGCTCAAACCGGAAGTGTTGCTAGCACTGGCCCTAGCAAGAGCAGTGCTTCGCAGAATCTACCACCGGATCGGAAACGGGACCCACTGAGAAGATCCGGCGAGAAACTCAGTGAGCTGTGCCTATGGGTTAAGCTTTTTAGTAAGAACTTCCCTTAAGCCTTCCCTTGAAGCCAACGTATGTAGAAGGAAAGATCGCCGGAAAAGCCCAGAAGCAAGTGGTTCTGTGTACAGCGGTCTTCCCCAACAACTGCGACATTGGGTTATTCAAGAAAAGAGCATATTTTTACCTGAAGGGTAGGCAACGCACTGGCGTAAACGCTGGTGACCGTGGGCGGCGGTGAATCACTTACCATCAGGTGACCCGTCTTGTCGTTTGCCTCTCGATGTTAAAAAAAAAAAAGCAATGTCAACGGCTGTTTCGATGGTATAAACAATGTCAACGTGCAATCGGCATGCCTGGCGACTGCAATAATCTTTGATACTGGGATTATCAATAAATCGAACGGTGTGTCATTGTATGGAGTCAAACTGAACTCCAGGAAGCTTATTAAATGGAATATTAAGGGTAATGATTATTTGACGATTGAAAATTATTAATGGCGTTACTGGTGGTAGGACCTCTTCTGAGTCCGCACGGATAGGTACCACCACCCTGCCTATATCTGCCGTGAAGCAGTAATGCGTTTCAGTTTGAAAAGGGCAGCCATTAAAACTTATATGTTAAGGTGGGCGGCGGCTTTTACGTTGTAGATGTCTATGGGCTCCAGTAACCACTTAACACCAGGTGGGCTGTGAGCTCGTCCACCCCTCTAAGCAATAAAAAAAAGCAGTGATGTATAACAATTGACAAATTACTAGCTGTTATCCGCGACTTTGCCTGCGTGCTCAAGAAAAAGTGTTAGTGTTATTTTCCGTTGAAATGAGAGGTTTGTTCAGGATAAAAGATAACCTATCCCGGTCTCTTTATCCAACACGGTCTCTTTGAAAAAATCATGTCAATCAGTTGTTTTGTTTTGATATGCAAGAAAGGAAAACAAAGACACAAACAAGTATTTGTTTCTTTCACAAGTATTTTCACATTTATAGTATTCGTACGAATATGGAAAAAATCACGTCTTCAAAAGACCCAAAAAAAAGAAAAAAAAAATATTAACTCTCGAATTAACAAAAAAAGACAACACGCTAATCTTTTAAAGATTTATTAACGAATAAGAGTACAAACATTACATTTATGACATACAATATTAGCCTTAAGATAATAATTACAATAGAGTCTCGATAAAGCATATTATCGTGAATTTATTATACCTATATATTCAATCTGTTTAACTTTTTTTTCCGCATAACCACATATTGAACAAATTTAGTTTATTGTTAATTTCCTTGGCCAAACGATCTAAAAACTTTAGTTTGAATTATTATTTATTTTCAAAGATTTAAAACATAGTTATTTCGTGGATATAATAACATTATTTATTATTTACTAGAGTGGTAAGAGGAAAACAAATATATCAAAGCTATCATATCCGATAATTCGTTTGAGACACGTCCTTCCTCCAATATGTAACTTATCTTAGATTTTAAGCCGACCTTATAATGTAGTAGGTACATTATGATGCGGTATATGTATAGTAGGCATCGATATATCGATGATAGTAGGTATATAATTGGCTATAATATATTATGTTTGATTATTATAACAACATTATAAAGCAGGTCTTTTTTTTAAACTATTTACTTTTTTACACTATTGCGGATTTTAAATTAGGTACGAATTACAGTGATAAATAGTATTAATTTTAGGTACGTGACGTATTTCTAAATCATGCTTTAGCAAAAATAGCGAAAATTGTTTTGTTTAAGTAATTCTTTACAAACTTACATTAATGAAATTATATTCTTATCTTAAAGCTAAATTTAGTGACTGAACAAGCTTAATTCAAAATATTTTATTAAATTTTGCAACCACCAAAGCGATGCTCTAAATGACACTATGGTTTTATTGATAGAATTTACACGTTTAAGTTATTCTGTAATAATTTTTAATCTACGTTGAATGAGACTACTGACCGGCTGACAAATCTTAATGTTCTGTACATACCTAATCTATTCGCAAACAGGATATATTTAAATCAAATAGTTACCATCGACACGCTGCCTTAAACCGACCCTATTCGTGAAGCATTTCACTACATAAATATTAGGTAGGTTAAAAACACTGTTACAGACGGAGTATAGAGGTGTAGTTACAACTTGAACGAATAGCTTAGATTTTTTTCAGGCAAAGGGCTAGAAAAAGGACTTTAAAAATTGAGTAATCACTTGGCGTGTTGCGAGCCAGCACGAGTAGTTACCACTATTTTGCCTATTTTCTGCCGCAAAGTAATCATGAGTTTTGGTTTGAAAGGTGGGATAATTCGTTCCATATACCTTTGTCATCTTTTAAGATACAGAACTTTAAATGTTTTTCCTTTGTCGTATCACTCTTGTCAGAGCGGTCGTAGTCGTAATTCAGTATTATTGCTGTGGGTAGATGTTATACGCCTCACGAGGAATCGCCACTTCTCCTGGTTTGCCTGGTGAGCCTCGTACACTCATGCAAACAGCCGCTAACTGCCGACTTAACTTGGTCGGTCCATTGCATGGGCAACTTTTCATACGGTCTGGTGCCCTCTACTTTGCCCTGAATGACAAGGCGCTCTATAGAGTTCTTTCCTCGCCGAGAGATATGTCCAAAAAATGATAGTAAGCGCCCATGCACGAGTGTCGAAAGAAACGTTTAGGAACATATCATTTCTAAAGATAAATTTACACTTTTAACAATATAAATTAAGGAGATCATAAGATCATGAGATACATCTTAAAAGCCCATCGAGTGTATTTTATTATTTTTAAAACACCAGTAAACGCTAATAAATAACCTTAATTTTTTCCTACAATTTAGAAGAAGCATTTAATATTTAAAATTCAACTATCGATATGGCTATCAAATTTTTCTATAATACAAATAGCGTTTTGTTTCCCAATTAAATTTATTTTTCTTACCAATCTAATAATGGTTATTTCTAGTTATTAAGTACAATTTTTTTTACAATTTTGTCAATAATTAGCAGAATGATGATCCATATTAATTTTAAGCTAAAATGTAATATGTAAATAAAGCTTTTCCATTAATGCTTTTTATGCTCTAAGATAAATTTAATAAATAAAAGGTAGTTATTTTATGACGTTGCTAATTCTTTATTACACTGGCTAATTAATACATGGGAAACAATGTGAAACATTTATTTTTGTTTTACAAATTTTTTTAATTTCATAGTCATGAATAATCTGTAGTACATATTAATACGATTTGGCTATAGCTTTGAGACAAATATTGCACCAATACTCGCATTTATTTACCTGTAAATATGTTAGAACTATAAATTTTACAATATTATTATAACTTTGGTAACAACATTATCAATTAATTGGTTATTTATACATTCGTCGCCTACGGCTTTTAAATGGCATAAAATTCAAAACACTACATTAGCAATTCGCAATATTTTATTAGTATGTTTTATTTATTACAATCCCAAAAAGAAGTCTTGAAAGTAAGTGAGTTTAAGTTATAAATGAATTATTTTAAATAAATAAATTAGTTTATTTATTTATTTAGAACTACAAAGATATAACTTACGAACTAAGTAAGTTCTATCAATCTATAATTAAATACCGTTGGCGATGATATTTTACTAAAAAAATAATAATATTATTTTATTATCAGATACACTATTAATGAGTTTCTCTTACACTTAATGGACATCGTAAGCAAAACGGGAAAACTTTTATTAGTTGTAAGTGCAACTAATGCGATAAATATTTTGCAAAAAACTTAGTACGTAGGATCTAATCATACAAACGTACAAGCAAGATGAAAAATGTTATTATTACAATCTATTTTGTTTTGTTGATCAGTTAAAATAGTTCGTTTGCTGTCGAACTTAAAATCGGCTCTTTTGATTTTTCAAAATGGCTCACAGAATAAAGAGTGTCGTTCAAAGATCGATCATCGCTTTTGACATCTGGCGGTTCGAATTTGAAGTCGGTATTTTGGACATTCGACAGCCAGTTTTCGTTGGGCCATTTAGTTGAAGAGTTGGCTGGGTTGGAGTCCGGTCGGTTGATAGACGCGCATAGAGGAGACGTAGAGGCGGGAGAGGCTGAGGTGGACGCTTCAGGGTTGGCGTCTTCCTCGGACAGGGTGCGAAGGCGCGAGAGCCTCCCCCGCCTCCCGCTTCAAACCGGAGACTGTTCCCCGCTAGCGCTACCGCTCGTGATGTAGTCCTGCGCATTCAAATCAAATCAAATCAAATCAAAAAAAAAATATTCAACATAAATGAAAGTACATACTTGTTGAACGTCAAAAGAACTACCGCCAGCCAATTCACAAAAACTAGCCTCCGTCCTGAGAAGAATTGGCAAGAAACTCAGCGGGTATGTCTTTTTTTTTTAAATATTAGATAAAAAATTTATATTAGATTATTTTTTTTAATATTCATTTTTACAATGAACATTATAACGTAACAATTATTACAATATTGAAATTATTACAATTATTACAATTATTACAATTCAGATATATTAAAGCTTTTTTTATTGCTTAGATGAATGGACGAGCTCACAGCCCACCTGGTGTTAAGTGGTTACTGGAGCTCATAGACATCTACAACGTAAATACGCCACCCATCTTGAGATATAAGTTCTAAGTACTCAAGTATAGTTACAACGGCTGCCCTACCCTTCAAACCGAAATGCATTACTGCTTCACGGCAGAAATAGGCAGGGTGGTGGTGCCTACCCGCGCGGACTCACAAGATGTCCTACCACCAGTAATTAATGAACCTAATCTATTCTTCTCATTTTCAATTAAAGCTTTTAGTCATTTTACTGATTACATTACGGACATTTTAAAAACAACGAGGATATTGGAAAAAAAGAAGAAAGAAAACTAGGCAGTCTTTATTGTCTGGTCTTAAAAATAACAGGCCATTTAAATTTATTAACGACAGACTGATTTATAGTTAAAGCACAATAATACGATTTTTCAATTGCAAGCGTTTTAGATAGTTTTGATTAGTACACTGAGTCTAGCGAGTTAATGTTGTTCTTTAAATGCTCACGACACTACTAACATTTTTTTAAAGCGTTATCACAGATGCTATGTTAGCGTAAACGATTGAAAATTATAATACGTTCTAAATTTCGAGTTAGTTTTTGCGAATGGTGTATGTAATAAAAATGTAGAAGTATAATTTGAATCTGAAACGAAATACGCAATTTTTAGAGAATACACGGAATTTAAATCACGTCACGGAAATAAGTTAGGAAAGGCCAGGTAAGTTGTCCGTTTACAGGTTAACTGCTGGAAAAGCTGACGTGTTCATAATACGAATTCAACTAACCTATGTTGAATGACGTCACGGTAGACTAAGAAGTAGGATAGGCTCGACTGAACTGATTGTACTGAACTGATATTAAATCGAGTTGAATCGATCGAGAGACAAGCTGTTATGGGGTCTCTCTCCGAGATCGATTTAAAAAAGGAAATTGTATTGAATTAAAATAAAGTTCCTATTGATTTATTGTACACACAGTTAATATTACAGTAATTGCGATAAGATATAAAAATGGCGAGCTTAACTCAACAATTGAGCTTTCTACCAGCTAACCGTTCTTAACGAAGGAAAGCTTTAAATGAGTGGGTAGAAGAATACAATCTAATCAATTTACAATTTAGAATCTTAATACAACCAAAAATTTGATATATAATTATTTTACAAAGAGCAACCCTTAAGCAACAGATCGACGTGATAGCTGAGAATACCTAGACTGCGTAAAACGCGGGCTGTTTGTGACTCAACTCATGAAACTGTTGACAAGCCATAGCCATTCCGGTAGGCAGCGGCTGGGCTCTGCCCCTGGCATTGCTGATGTCCATGGGCGACGGTTACCACTCATCATCAGGTGGGCCGTGTGCTCGTCTGCCTACAAGGACAATAAAGAAATAAATCCGAAATGTATGACCGAGGGCTGTGTCATCCACTTAGGGTTCAGTACACGGTTATAACAGAGCCCTCCGTAATCGGTCTCGTACTTACAGCATGTAGGTGCCTGGAGTCATAGTGCGGTGCGAGTGAGGTCCTCGGCACGAGGAGTGTGGTGGTGGTCGTCTCCGAAGCCGCAGACTCTCGCTTCGACGGGTGGTTGTATAACCTGCCCCACAGTCTTGTTAACCGTATTCAAGACACTATCTGTACCAATACGCCTAATTTAAACCGCGTCAGCTTTTTCGAGTAACTTCTACGATATATGTTTATAGTATACGATATCACATACCTACGAAAACTAATCAGAAGTACCGCGTTATAAATGTGATGTATTTTATCCTTTGAATATATTTTTTTGGTAATAGATGGAATTTCTAAGGAATTCAATTGACTTTTAGAAACTCATTATACTCGTTGATATTAAACGTAATATTACGCAAAATATCGAAATTCTAAAAGTAATTCGGCTCCATTTTTACTTATTGTCAATACTAATTCCGAACCGTCAAAGTGTCGTCGTGGTTAACAAAAATGGGAAATTACGAAAATTCAATAATGGGCTCATCTCATTTTGAGAAAACGAAATTAAATTATTTATTTCGAATCAAAGAAGTTACAGGGGATAACGAAGTCCTTCACGACGGATCAATTGAAACAAACGGTAATCCAGTCATCTAACGTATAAGTAAATAGTGCGCGTGAAATGAAAGCTAAAGTGGAGATAGAAAATATATTAAACAGAAAAGCATTTAAAATAATATCAAAACATGCTCACCTCGAGTGCAATGAAAGATGCATGCAGCTTAATCAATCAATGGAAGCCGTGTTAAGAATGCGGAACATTGTAAAATTTGCGAGTATGTACCTCTATAAATTTTAGAACGCTGTAATCCGGTTGATATTATACTATATAGTTATTAGGGTATAAAAATGAAAATTTAGAAAGACGTAAGTGTGAAAAAAATTATAATCAGGAAACTGTTGAACTGTTTGAAATAATAGACCGTTAAGTAAAGCATATTAGAAATTTTATTAAATTATAAACTAAGTAATAAAAACAAACAATAATATCGATCCAAATCCACATTCTTATCTCCATAAATGCATTAAGTCCGTTTTGTTAAAAATTCGATGAGTTCTATTCCATATTCATTCCAGATATCTTCATACCGTGAGCCTATTGGAAAATAAAAAAAAAACAACGATACGTCAAAATATGGATTTGGAAGTTTAGTAAACCAAACAATAAGCGTGCAACTTAAAAATTGAGGGGTTTGGTGTCTGTTTTTAATTAGGTCTTTAAAAAAACAACTTAAATGAAAATGTTAATTGTAATTGAACTAATATTAAATAATTTTGATTAAATGATCAACAATTTAAAGGTTTAATAACAGCTTGATTATTGATTATCTTCCCTAAGTCACATCATTACGGCATGCAATTTATAATAGATTGCTTACCGTATACTCTCCGTTCTGGATCTAGGAGACCAGTCCTTAGAGTATGAAGCTCCCCTCCTTCTCCCTCCTCCGATATTTCTGCCAGTCTTCCATCTCTCAACGTGGTACCTGATCGCGTGTCTCACCTCAGTGTTCATGAAGCAATAGAATAGGGCCACTGTGAATCCCTAGAAAGAGGATGTTATTTAATTGTTGTATTTATCTTTTGTTGAATTCACTGTACAAAATTGAATCGTAGTTTGTAAGGTTAGTTTGATTTAAGTTTTTGTCACTTCAACGTTTGGCTCTAATGTCTTTGAAGTGGATTGCAGTCGTAGCTCAGCGTTTTTATTAGAATTTCTCGAACACTACGGTCATGCGTACAAAAACAAATTCCATGCGTGGGAAAAGAAGCACATGCCTCATTACAAAATAGATATTGTTTCGTTAAGGTTATTTCCTCCCGATCCACTAACGGTGCTTTTAGGTACCCCAAGCACTGCGAGGCGGGTTCTGCGTGGTTGACGCCGCGCAGCGCCTCGCGCGCCTTTCACAAGGCTTAGTCTCCCAGTGGAAGAAGAGGAGGACTTTGGTCTTCCTCTTCTCCCTCTTCTTCTCTGGAGGCGCCGGAGTCCGACATAACCCGGTCTGTTACCCCTCTCGACCGGGTATCCGTAAACGGATTCCCTAGCGTTAAAAAAAAAGTACCCCAAGCACCGGTCATCGTTCTCGTCGAACCTGTCGCTTGCGACGAAGGGTTCGGCGAGTAAATTAGCCCACAGATACAGCCCACTGAGTTTCTTGCTGGATCTTCTCAGTGGGTCGCGTTTCCGATTCGGTGGTAGATTCTGCGAAGCACGGCTCTTGCTAGGGTTCGTGTTAGCAACGTCGTTTCACCTATTAGTTAAGGTTACGCTGATACGGTCTCTCTAGACCGGTAGAAAAAAAAAATATTAGTCATTGACGACTCTCTCGGGCGCAAGGAATTTACTCAAAACGTAATTCTTTTCAATAAAGAATACATAGCCTATAAGCTTGATTAAATATAAACTGATCGTATTTTTCATTATTCACGATTAACCTATCTATAACTTACAAAATCTTTCATTAGTTGTAACGAAACCAAAACTATACTTTTAAATTAGCATAGATTTTAAGTAACTAAAATACTATAATAGTTTTACGAAACCTTTTTTTTTTGTTTTTAGCATCGATTTGAAATTCCCATAAAAATCGTAAATTTAAAAGTTTCATTGCATAAGTTGTTAAGGGTGTGTATTGTCTGTAATATAAAAGCAGAAAAAACGAGTCACAAGTTACATGATAGCGTGCTTGAATACTTATAAATAAATCAAGTTTTATTAGAACAATCAAGTGAGATTCGACGAAATTACACTTGGAGGGTGTCCAATTCTAAACTTTGAAGCTATACATGTAGATTACGGGCTTATTAAAGTTTTTCTGTGGATGTTTTCTTAGTAAATACGAGTACTTAATTTGGATCGGTATTGACAGGGCTGATGTTTGATAATTGAAGGAACTGTTACATATCAGATTGTTGCAAAAGATAACTGCATAAGATAATAATAATTAATATTAACTGAACAATGTTTCAAAAAGTATATTGTCCATAACAATCGAATAGAGACATAATATATGAAAAAAAAATGCGTCTAATTTGTTTCAATTTTTGAAATTAAATAATTGTAATCAATGTGTGGTTATCGTTTAATTAAACAATAACATTTTCAAATTGAATACGGCCTCAGATACAATTTTAACAATTCTCAATTACATATTATATGATATTCAGCTTTATGTTAAGAATATTGATTAATACAAAGCTCATTTCAATACGTACTTAATTAGAGTCCCTTAATTGATATATGTAGTAACGTGAAAATAGTCGTGAATATTGAAGATATCTTAATAAGATTTGGGAAAAAATGTAATGTTGTTGAAATGAACAAAGCTAATTTTCGTAAACTACTTAAACGATGAATCATTTCCGAAAAAAAAAAGGTTTTTCTTTTGTTTCTAGAGGCGTCACCTAATATACTAGTATAGTAATCACAATAGCAAACAAATTCACAATTATTATTTAAAAACACGAATTCCGTGTCATCTCGTAATACAGCAACATTAATAATAAAACATACTCGTAATAAGTGTAATCGGACATTACGGAACATATTGAAACAATAAAAATTCACCTCTTTGTTCTATTAACCGTAGCTGAATTTTGAGCCAATTTCGGAAGCTGCAACCATTGTTGTAATTGCTCTAAGTACCCTTTAAATTAGTGAGCACGATTATTTGTCTGGCGGTCGAATTAGGCAGAACGACGATATTAAAACAGAAATTCAGTACGTAGCTTGCTGCTTAATGGTGGCGCAAACGAGAATTATTAATTCAAAAATTTATTCATTCAAATTAGAGCAGAGTGCTCAACTCAAAGAAAAATCAAAGTGCAAAATTAAATATTTATTTTGTAATTAAGAATTTTAGAAGACGAACTAGCTTTCGTACAGTTGTAAGATTTCGGCGGGAGTAAGAGGCACTCAACTTCGAGGAGAGCGGATTAAATATCAGCCTAAGTACAGTTTTAATCCAAAGCTTTCTGGTTCGTGAAGTATGCATTAAGGCAACATTTAGGTGTGGGTACGTAAAAAATTTACTTTATTCATTCCGTCAATAACCTCATTAGACCGAACCCTTTGCCCCTAATGCTCTGAAGAAAAACGAATTTACCGATGCGTGTATAATGACAGAATTGGATGAGTTCTAGAAAATTCTTGTTTTTTTTCTGATCGGTTTAAATAACTGCGAACCACAACCGTGTTCTTAATTAACGTAATCGAATTGACATTTGGGAGTTTCAAAAATAACGCATAGCCGCTCTGGCAAAATTTCCAACTTTGTTAAATCTTTGCAAAGTTTACGTGGATTACGTTTGATCTGTAGATTATACAAGTCAAGGGAGCACATTTTTGAAAACAGTTTTGTACAGAAAATAAGAATAAAATAGTCATACTTAATCGAAACAAAAAAAAATGTTTGCTTGTTTTGAATAAAGATTTCCAATTTCGTAATTAATCATTGTTATTCTGAACACCACAGTTACCTGTAATATGATAATAAAAAAATATCGAGAAAATATTTCGGTATATACATCTATAGCTTAAAAACGGTTACGGTACTATTGGCCCTCACTCGGCCCGGGCTCCCTTTGTGGGGCAATACGAGTTGGGGAGGGAAAGAAAACCCTCCCCGAAACCCACAACACATGGGGCCCCAGAAGTAGTAAGTAGCACACACCGGAAAGAAGAAAATGGAGAAATTTAGGGGATGAAGGGAAAACACAACGTTCCCGTAACACTCAGGTTATTTAACACACCCCAGCCGGGGATATCGGAGCTTCCTCATCTGTAATTTATGCGAAGTGAGATGGTACCGGCTGAAGAAGAAACCTCGCTGAGTGAACGGTTGTCAAGACCTTATGAATGTGGGTGACCATGGTCACGGAGCAGTCGATCTCGCACCCCAGATACTGGATCTAATACACTGGATCTAAAGTCGACCTCCACGCCGCGGAGACTGAGTTTACCCGGGACCATTTTTGACCTTAGGACTGGACCGTAGAGAACTGTCGCGGTCTTTCCCATATTTGCCGCGACGCTCCCCAGACACTGGGACAGAACACGCAACAGCCTCTGCATCCAAGATAGATAGATCGATTAGAATACTAAACAGCACATCTCACCTGTGTAGATAGCATGAGGGCTCTCGCGTAGTCGAATGAGTATGCGAACCAGGAGTCGTCACTAGGTCCGCAGAGCACAAGCAGGTTAGTGATACCCAACAATGGTATCAATACAAGAAGCGCTTTAGTAGCCTTCCTGTATTGTTCTGTTTCGAGGGTGTTCGCCGAGCGGAGTTTTGTAATCAGCACCTGTTCAAAAAAAAAAAAAACAGAATTAACCTTAAATCTTTCTTACCCATATTCGATGAAATGTTTTATGACTTCAGAAACAACTTTATTTTTATTTTTATTGCCCTTGTATTTGTGCGTTTTATTGCCCATTGATAGTGATTGGTTACAGTTGATCATGAAAGACAGTGTTAAAAAAAGGGTGCGCGTACTTATGTACGCGCGTAAGAAGTTATACTTTTTTTTTTAATTTTTTAATTTTTTTTTATATATTGAATAATTAATAATTAATATTTAACGTTAAAAAATGAATGCTAATAACACATTTTTTTACGAGTGTACATTTGCGAAAGTTCACCTGCGGCTATATTCAGACTCGCCAAGTTACGTCGGTCGTATTGTAATGAGCGATTTAGTGGGCAACTTCATTTCTGTTACGTGTAATTTCACTCTCATCAATTTTTCATAACGCGCCTAAAGAAGTATAACTTCAAAAAAAGTGACAAAGCCAAGCCACTGCCTACCGTTGAATCTAATACTATCGATCTGTTCGAGATTTAATTAGTAGCATTATTTTACAAACTAGAATTTATTGCCGATATTAATGATGTTGCAGCCGTAGGTAGTATGATTAGTGCTATTACACAGGGCTTCTAGGTTTTGAAAAATGTTATTTTTGTTTATTTTGTCATCGATTTTCATTTTTTGTTCAAATGTTTATATATCGTATTTATTATAGTATTTTCTTCCGTTTTCTCTAGTCGTAGACATAATTATAAGTATTTTCTCAGTTTTCTTGATCACCAAAACTGTAAAGTACTCGAAATGTCAGAAATAATATCATTACAATTACGAGAAAGTAATTTGAATTGTAACTTTAATAGCATTTGATTTAGTCCATATCAACATACTTTATATACTATAAGAACACTTTTTTAAAGACCTTTCATGTTTTAGTTTGCTGCTTGTAGTAGTTTATTTGATTTTGGGACTAGAACTTTTTATTTATTAATTATTTGTTTTAATTAACATTAATTTGTTTTTATTTTTGTTTTCAATATAATGCGAAACTATGTGTAGTATTAGAAATACCTAAAATTATGCCAAAGGCCGCATTTTCTAAATGTTTGTTATTTAATAATGTAAAACATAAAGAGTCGTCTCATTTGGCAACCCTACTCTAGATACCTATGTGTTGCCACCGTGCATTGAGATGGGATGTAATTAATGCACTTATGTATCGGACTGTGAAACACTCGACATATTAGTGAGGGGGCTAGATCTAGCACTAGCATTTGAAATTATTCTAAAGAGTATTATTCTAAACTAAGTCAGAGTTTTTTTTTATTGCCTTTGTAGGGAGACGAGCATACGGCCCACCTGATGGTGAGTGGTTACCGTCGCCCAAGGACTTCAGCAATGCCAGGGGCAGAGCCAAGCCGCTGCCTACCGTTGAATCTAATACTATCGATCTGTTCGAGATTTAATTAGTAGCACTAGCATTATCTTACAAACTAGAATGTATTGCCGATATTAATGATGTTGCAGCCGTAGTATGATTAGTGCTATTATAGGGCTTCTAGGTTTTGAAAAAATGTTATTTTTGTTTATTTTGTCATCGATTTTCATTTTTGTTCAAATGTATGCATAAATAAAGGTAATAAAAATATAGGCACGCTTAGATAAAATCTGTACGTCAAATAGTAGTAAATCTTTTCTAAATATTATCGTTGTAGGGAAAACATACGTTTTGGTAATTTCCGTCAAGGAAACTGTCACAGGAAAACTGTAAGGAGAAAATCTTTTTCACTTCCATGAGAGAATTTCATCGAATTTCTTACGGCTTATCATTTCCTATCAATACTTGTCTGATTTATGTTTCGTAAAATGAAAGATATTTTCCGGAGATTCGTGGTTTTTCTTGTAATTCATCTGAATTCTTGGAATATGCGTACTATTTAAGCGAACTAGACGTTTGTCTTTCATCGTCGTGGAATTAACAGTTCCAATATTTGTTTTTATTGATTAAAATATTTTACGTTTTAATTTCGCGTTAACTATTTTCATTATACTTTAGAATACTTTACAGTTTTCATATACGTATCTCATAGTATCTATGATTCACGAAAACTGAAGAAAAACGTTTAGTTTTGATTTCCTGACACTCAAAGGTCTATTTTGGTCAAGTTTTGATTTTTCCGAAAGATATCGTCTGATATAAACATTAAGATAACAAAACTACGTTCATATGCATACCCTATAATTCATTGGAACTCAATATTGTTGAACTTGACGTTTATAGAACAACACAGTTCTCCTCACTGCTTGAAAACGGCCAAATACACGGTAGGTACCACCGCCCTGCCTATTTGTGCTGTGAAGCAGTAATGCGTTTCGGTTTGAAGGGCGGGGCAGCCGTTGTAACTATACTTGAGACCTTAGAACTGATATCTCAAGGTGGGTGGCGCATTTACGTCGTAGATGTCTATGGGCTCCAGTAACCACTTAACACCAGGCGGGCTTTGAGCTCGTCCACCCATCTAAGCAATAGAAAAAAAACTTCATACTGCCATGACTTACCCACATAATCCTGACAAGGAAAAATAAGTTCAGCGCGAGTCCCGCCAGCGCGGGAGCTTTGTGTATCCAGTCCACCTGATGTTCGTGCATCCATATACACATCTTCGCTTCCCCAGCAAGCGCAAGCTGCAAAATTAACCCGCCTCAGAACACTAACGAATGTAATTCATGAACTAAGTAGCCGCCGGCATATATGTATATAAAACTGACTTAATTAAAAAGTTGGTTGGTGCGTCCGTGGTAGTATTACCTTGTGTTAGTTTTTAACTTAACTCCCTAACCAATTCGTAGCCTGATTAACACGTTTAATATTGCTAGTGGTCCCTTGGTAGTCGAAATTCGACTAAAATTAATTGAAATTATAAATTTGTACACTGTTCTGATTCTATTTTAAAAGACTATTTATTATACTTCTATAATAACAGATTTCGCCAAGCAGTTGCCTTGCGGTCCCCGTACGGTTCACACGTATCGGTCGACGCGGCGCGGTTAACGAGTAATTACGAATATAATATCACTACCGAGTGTTCTGTTTTAACACCGTTTGTCAAGTTAGGGGTACTCCTGGCAACGGGAGCCCCTTCTGACACTATGGATAAACCTACCCCCACCGTAAGTTATGCCAATGTTACATCTAAAACCNTTTATGGACATTGCCTCTAATTCCGTAAGCATTTAATTTATCTAGAAGGGTTTTATGATCCACATAATCAAACGCTTTAGTCATGTCCATGTACAGTGTAGCAGTAGGAGTTCGATTATCTAAGTTGTAATATATAGGTTTTAATAGGTCATGTATAGCCATATTAATTGATTTATTTCTTCTGAAACCTTTTTGCTCTTGTTATTTTGTCATCGATTTTCATTTTTGTTCAAATGTATGCATAAATAAAGGTAATAAAAATATAGGCACGCTTAGATAAAATCTGTACGTCAAATAGTAGTAAATCTTTTCTAAATATTATCGTTGTAGGGAAAACATACGTTTTGGTAATTTCCGTCAAGGAAACTGTCACAGGAAAACTGTAAGGAGAAAATCTTTTTCACTTCCATGAGAGAATTTCATCGAATTTCTTACGGCTTATCATTTCCTATCAATACTTGTCTGATTTATGTTTCGTAAAATGAAAGATATTTTCCGGAGATTCGTGGTTTTTCTTGTAATTCATCTGAATTCTTCGAATATGCGTACTATTTAAGCGAACTAGACGTTTGTCTTTCATCGTCGTGGAATTAACAGTTCCAATATTTGTTTTTATTGATTAAAGCATTTTACGATTTAATTTCGCGTTAATTATTTTCATTATAAGTCGAGTACTTTACAGTTTTCATATACGTATCTCATAGTATCTATGATTCACGAAAACTGAAGAAAAACGTTTACTTTTGATTTCCTGACACTCAAAGGTCTATTTTGGCCAAGTTTTGATTTTTCCGAAAGATTTAATTTTTTATTTTTTTTTGTTGCTTAGATGGGTGGACAAGCTCACAGCCCACCTGGTGTTAAGTAATTACTGAAGCCCATAGGCATCTACAACGTAAATGCGCTACCCACCTTGAGATATAAATTCTAAGGTCTCAAGTATAGTTACAACGGCTGCCCCACCCTTCAAACCGAAATGCATTACTGCTTCACGGTAGAAATAGGCAGGGTGGTGATACCTACAAACTTAACTTCACTTAAACTTAACTTCATACTGCCATGACTTACCCACATAATCCTGACAAGGAAAAATAAGTTCAGCGCGAGTCCCGCCAGCGCGGGAGCTTTGTGTATCCAGTCCACCTGATGTTCGTGCATCCATATACACATCTTCGCTTCCCCAGCAAGCGCAAGCTGCAAAATTAACCCGCCTCAGAACACTAATGAATGTAATTCATGAACTAAGTAGCCGCCGGCATATGTGTATATAAAAATGACTTCATTAAAGAGTTGGTTGGTGCGTCCGTGGCAGTATTACTTTGTGTTAGTTAACTTAACTCCCTAACCAATTTGTAGCCTGATTAACACGTTTAATATTACTAGTGGTCCCACTGTAGTCGAAATTCGACTATAATTAATTGAAATTATAAGTTTGTACACGGTTCTGATTCTATTTTAAAAGACTATTTATTATACTTCTATAATCGCAGATTTCGCCAACACTACACTTTAGACAAATATTAATAAAGACAAAAAATATTTAATCTATTCTCAATTTGACCACAGACTTTATGCATTAAGAAAATTTTGACAATAAACAAATTTAGTATGCATGCGTGTATGTGTCAAATACATGGTAGTGTGTGTAATGTTTTCTTTATTGATTTAAAGTATATTTTATGCATTATTTAAAAAAAAATATTAGCATTGTGCACTTCTCTATATTCTGTATAAGTGTGGAAAATTTCATACTCCTCCGTCCGCGCAATTTTCGTAAAAAGGGATACAAAGCTTTTGCTTCACGTATTAATATATAGATCAGATTGACTACATTGACGTAATGCATTGACATAAGGCGTGTAATATGTTATAAAAATGTTGGCTAAATTAACTTACAACAAAATCTTTATTTTACTCCCTCGACCCCTCGTAATGAGATGAGAGGAAGAAGGGGCAAGTCAAATGTGTGTGCACGTTCAATATTTGCTATCTGTCATAAAAGTACCGCCGTCATATATTCACTTTATCACAAAAGTAGGTGTCGGAAGATCCGGGAGACATTAAGTTTATTTATGGGTCCGTGTTCAAAAAGCGTAATAAATAAATAATATCAAACCATTGCGCAGGATTCAACGAAAACAAAATCGTTACCGAATTCAAATAATAGAAATACTTTTTGTATAATTACAGAAATATATCTAAGAAATTTAACAGTGCTAATAATTTTATTTGCTCAGCCCGGGGTTACGTTCGAATAATTTGAGATATAAAAATATCCAAAATTAAATTTACATTTTGGCCTCGGCGGAGTGCCGAATGCGAACCGAATTGAACGGAATAAAATCAAATTGCGCATTTTGGAAGCCCTTTGAAGAAATAGGGTGCGTTTTACGACGTTTTTATGTCGTATGAATGTAACGTTTTTATTATTAACGCTGTGTTCCACCTGGGAAATAAGGAAGTAAAGATATTTTCAGAGCAGGATTTTTATTCCAGAATCGTTTTTTTTTCGAAATAAATTTTATTCGTAATTATGTTTATGTGATTGTCGATAAAGATACGATCTTTAAAAATTAGTAAGCAATCTTATTTCTAGATTATTTGACATATCGCCGCTGTTGGTCTTATAACACAGATTTTTTCTGAACTAAGAGCAGTGCGGTAATAACGTGACGTAGTGAAAACTAATCTGCAACTAGGTTGGAGCTTTTCATGAATACGGACAGAGCGTTTGTCAATTGGTACTATTTGATACTAATTTCTGCGATTTGTTTTATATATTTCATTGGTGGATGAACGAGCTCACTTCCCCTTTAGTGATAATTGGTTACCGGAGGGCCATAAACATAAACGCAAATTCCATCACTCATATTAAGATATGAGGTCGAAGTTACAATTTTACTGTTTAATGACTCTCTCACCTTTCGATCCGAAACGCATGACTGCCATACGGCAGAGAAAGATAGAAGAAACTCATCTTTTTTTTTGCCTACCTAAGCTGATGGTCTAGAGAGACTATATCAGCGTCACCGGGTTAGTAGGTGAGCTCACGGGGCTCAAACCTGACGTTGTTGCTAACACGAACCCTAGTAAGAGCCGTGCTTCGCAGAATCTACCACCGGATCAGAAACGCGACCCACTGAGAAGATCCGGCGAGAAGCTCAGTAGGATGTGTCCGTGGGTTAATTTACTCGCCGAGCTCTTCGTCCCAAGAGGCGGGTTCGACGAGAACGGTGACCGGTGCTTGGGGTACCTAAAAGCACCGTTAGTGGATTGGGAGGATCCGGGATGACATGTTATGGGCGACGTCGACTGTTTACCATTCGGTCCGCAGGATCGGCAACGTAGTTACCGGAAACCCACCCGCGGATCAATGAACGTAGGAAATAATAATATGAAATAACAAAAGCGAGACCAAGCCGTAAAGTTATGTCTGTCGAATTAGCGAAAACCAAATTAAAATACCTTTATTTTCCTCTACCTATTCGATGGTAGCTTAAGAGGATATTCCACCTACGCGCGGCCGGGTAGGTGAGCTCACGGGCTCAACTTGAGAGAATTTGATAACAATAGTTCTAGCCAGAGCAGTGCTTCGCAGAATCTACCTCCGGATCGGAATCGCGAATACCATTCATGATGCGGTTCGGCTTAAAGGTCGACATCGATACTTTAACATCACGTGTCAATGCTCAAGTACGTCCAAAATTAAGTTAAGTCTAAGAATAGTTACTACTTACACCGTCTGGTCCAGTCGATGGCATGACGTTGACAAAACATCTTGACACGACCCAAATTGTGATGAATATCGCCGGAGCACCTAGTAAATAAATTAGGTCAGTTTATGAAAAAAATAGTAATTGAATTCTTCACCTGGAGAACCTTATTAAAGCAGTTAAATACATTTTGTTTTCGCTTTGACCTTTGTATTTTTCGATTTATGTCAATCTAATTACAATTCACATACAAAATACACGGCAACTAGGTCCTTTTACGTATTGCTGTAAATATATCGACGGAAGTGTGAGAAAGCGGAAATGTCGTAACTTGTATTACTTTTTACCATATTATTATTACTAGACGATGACCGAACTTTGCTCGGTTTTTCTTTCTTTCTAACATCATCTTATTGTATCTTTAAAGTGGTTGGTTGCCCTCAATTAAGAAAAATAGTATTATTATTTGCCAATAGATGTCGGAAAGAGTTGATTATTGAAAACACGAATAAAACAACATTTTCTGAAAATAAATCGTAGATAGATCGATTTATCGCCCCCGAAATCCCCTGTATACTAAATTTTATGAAAATCGTTGGAGCCGTTTCCGAGATTCAGATTATATACACATATATTAATATACAAGAATTGCTCGTTTAAAGGTATAAGATTAATACATACCAAATTTCAACTCTATCTTTATAAATATAATATGAGTTATGAAGTTTTGAAACAGTTTTATGGTAAAGGTGAGTTTTTCAAGTTACGACAATTCCGCTTTCTTCCGTCGATATTTTCACTACATCTTTATATAAAATATATAATAATATTGGTTTGGATAGAGAGATCGTTATTTAACCAAAGATTTGCGATATCAGAATTTTACTATACGAATAATGTAAACCAAAATAATTGTTCGTGACGTTTTTTACTTATTGCATTCCTGTCAAAGTATGATACAAATTAAAAGTTAATCTCGATTCAAAAATTTCAGAGCTATTTAAATTAAAAAAGGACAGACTTCGTTGATGTCCATAAACGAAGATCAATTATTTTAGTTAAAATGAATGAAATTTTATTTAGATATTACGTAATAGCCTCCTAAAATAATTAATCCCTTCTTCAACCTTAGATGACTTAAATTTCTACAGATAAATTGAAGACTTGACCTATTATGACCCAGGGAACAAACGAAGCAGATTAATGGTAGGTAGCGAAAAATGGATCTAAATTTCAAAGGTTGACAGACTGACAGAGGATTTTCTTATAAAGCTGTAAGATTTTTCTAAAAATAATCTACTAGCTAAATTGTAAAATGCTTTCTTGTTCTAACTACAAGTAATAGAAAGGAATCGTCTATTTGAAATATATTTGAAGAAAGTTTACTTTTGTGAATTTAGTGTATAGTGTTACCACTTATTGATTTTCATCAAATATTCTTCTTTTTCAATGAAAGGTGTAGAGGTTGCAGTTCTTTAACTATAGCGAGAACTATTATCATGGTTGGTCACGATTGATGTTTTTGAAGTAGTTTTATTTATTCATGATTTTTCAATTGTTTTTTTTTTAAAACATACAACAAACATAAAGACATTAAGTATATACTGCACAAAAGGACTTCTAATATATTTTAAGGATTAATCGATTGGCATGAGACATCACGTAACGCTGCTAACTTCGTAAATATGTACAAACATCTTTAATTTGAGTTAGATAAATTTTAGCTGTCTCTGAAGACTATTTTATATTAGTTTTGGTTCACAGATGAGCTTACAGCCTATCCCATGGTGAATGGTTACCGTCACCAATGGAAAACAGCAATAAATAAATAAATAAATAAATATTTACTAACAATCACGCCTCGTTAACTGGTCCCGTGATAAGTTCGTAAAGAACTTGTGTTACAGGTACTAGATAACGGATATAAATGTAAATTTTTTATTATACACATACATATATTTAATATACATCCATAACCCTGGAAAAGACATTTATATTTATCATACAAATATCTTCCCTTGGCGGGATTCGAACCCGCGACCCCCTTGTGTAGTGACCATGTCACTTGCCACTACACCAGACGGCCGTTAATGTTAGGAGCACAGTAATAACAGTAATAAGAATCTACCGTTTTAACAACAGCAAGTATCTTTATTAGCTGTAGCACTGTAAGTAGCAATCTTGTCAGCAGCAAGTACGATATTTTTACCTTAAATTTTAAATAAATGAATAGATGATACCATAGATACGAATTAACATGACTAAAATGAACTTACCCCAACCGATGGTAGTGTATACTTTGAGTTTAATATTTTCCGCGGTGAATGTTTCCACAACAAGCATGTACAGGTACAGACCTGAAAACATAATTATATTAACCTTTTTGTTTCGGTTCAGCCAGCGTTCGCAAACACGCGCCAAGTAAACGATGCATAAATACGCATTTGTTTAGAAGTGTATTTTTTTAGTACTCAGAAGAGGAAATAGAATGTAATACATATATGTATATATATCTATATATTAATACGTGAAGCAAAAACTTTGTATCCCTTTTTACGAAAATTGCGCGGACGGAGGAATATGAAGTTTTCTACACTTATAGAGAATATAGAGAAGAAGTGCACTATGCTATTTTTTTTTTAAAATAATGCATACAAGATTCATTAAATCAATAAAGAAAACATTACACACACCACCTACCATGTATTTCACGCACACACGCATGCATACTATTTATTGTCAAACTTTTGTTCTTGACGTCTGTGGTCAAATTGAGAATAGATTAAATATTGTTTGTTTTTTCGTAATATTTTTTTATAGTGTAGCTTTGGCGAAATTTGTGATTGTAGTTTTTTTTTTTTTTTTTTTTNTTTGTGATTGTAGTATGTGTACAAACTTACAATTCCAATTAATTATAGTCGAATTTCGACTACTGTGGGTCCTCTAGTTTTTATTTATTGCGTAGATAGTTGAACAAACTCACTGTGTATCTGGTTTATGATTATTACTGGACCCATAGATAACTGCAGCTTGAATGTCATCACCAATTCGAGATAAAAAAAAATTGCCTTTATAGGCTGATGAGCATTCGGCTCACTTGAGGGTAAGTGGTTACCGTCGCCCATGGACATCAGCAATGCCAGGCACAGAGCCAAGTTGATGGCTATCAGTTTCGAAGTCGAAGTTTCAATTGCATAATCCAACGGCTGTTCCATCTTTGAAATTGAAACGCATGACTGATTCGCGACAGATATTGGCAGGATGAAATGTATGGGAAATCGAATTCCTTTATTTACTATTGGTAGTAAGAAGTAGTTAGTTTCTAATGAAACTTTCCAAATTGATACTATCGTCTTACGTGTTTCAAAAGTATCATAATTGTTATTCAGTATTCAGCGAAGATTTCAATCTTACATTTCAAGGTAAAGTGAGCTCATTTGGGCTAATAAAATAAATTATGCTGTTGTTTAAAAATCTTTGTAAATCCAAAGTACGTTATCAGCTGGCTTGGCTAAATGGCCTACGCTATCTTCAGTATATACATGCATAATAATGAATATTTTGGATTTCGTTTTAAAAATGTATTCTCTAAATTATAATAAGGCTTTATTGAGAAGTCGTCGTGGCCTAAAGAATAAAGACGTCCAGTGCATTCGTGTTGAGCGATGCACTGGTGTTCGAATCCCGCATGCGAGTACCAATTTTTCAAATGAAATACGTACTCAACAAATGTTCACGATTGACTTCCACGGTGAAGGAATAACATCGTGTAATAAAAATCAAACTCGCATAATTTGCGTAATTACTGGTGGTAGGACCTCTTGTGAGTTCGCGCGGTTAGGTACTATCGGCCTGCCTATTTCTGCCGTGAACCAGTAATGGGTTTCGGTTTCAAGGGCAGGGCAGCCGTTGTAACTATACTGAGACCTTAGAACGGATTTCTTAAGGTGGGCGGCGCACTTACGTCGTAGATGTCTATGGGCTCCAGTAACCACTTAACACCAGGTGGGCTGTGAGCTTGTCCACCCATCTAAGCAATAAATAAAAAAAAGATAAAATCAACTTGCACGAATTTGGCTTTCCGATTAGTCTAAGCTGAACCGACAACCCTTCTCAGTATTATTTTAGTTTTATAAAGCAAATTTGAATCTTGAAATTCATCTTCGAATTTGTAATAATGTGGGTGTAATTACATTTTAACTTTACGATGCACATTTATCGCAGAAAAAAAAGTTAATTATTTCAATTTAATTATCTTTTGTATTGTTAGTCTTAGCACAATAGTAGTAATTCATTTTTATTTGGTTCGTGAAAGCAAATAATTTAAGCACGTAGTGTGACACGTGTCAGTTTTTATCTTGCTTAAGCAAACTTTATAAGAATTCATAAAAATGAATTATGTAAGATTATTTGTGTGGAACGAATTTATAAAATAATTCTAAGGGAAGGATAACAGCTGATGATTACATATTATAATTGAAACTATTTTGACGATTTAATCTTGCATTTAAATTATCATTAAATTATTTTTGCTATGTTCAATATTTCAAATACTTCACAGTTTTCGTGGCGACGGATGATTTAATGATAAAAAACACGAGATTAATAATAGTGATAATAATAGATAAAAGTAGGTAGTTGTAATTTTGTCTACGACTTGCGAACTCTTAAAAAAATAAAGGATTTTTAGTTTGCTTTTTTGATAGATGACATTTCATTCTATAAATAATAGCTCTGTAGTATAATTCTATCTCATGCATTTGCATGCAAACTTATAGCTTCGGTTATAAAGTTATTTTTTGTCGATTACTGAGTTAGTTTATTCATTGGACACTTTAAAAATGATATACAAATTACGTTGTAATAAAAACATGTTTTTTTTTTCTTCACTCGTTTTTTTACGTTACAGGCGCCGTAATTAATTAGTAAATAGCACGTTTCAAATAGCACCTAGAGGATAAAATCCATTATGCTACTTGACTACAGAGCAAACAAATATACGCTATTTACTAGAGGTCCCGTAGTAGTCGAAATTCGACTATAATTAATTGGAATTGTAAGTTTGTACACTATTATGATTGTATTTTATACTTCTATAATCACAAATTTCGCCAAGGGTACCCTATAAAAAAATATTAATAAAGACTAACAATATTTAATCTATTCTCAATTTGACCACAGACGTAAAGAACAAAAGTTTGACAATAAATGGTATGCATGCGTGTGTGCGTCAAATACATGGTATGTAGTGTGTGTAAAGTTTTCTTTATTGATTTAATGTATCTTTTACGCATTATTTAAAACAATATTAGCATTGTGCACTTCTTCTCTATATTCTCTATAAGTGTGGAAAATTTCATACTCCTCGGTCCGCGCAATTTTCGTAAAAAGGGATACAAAGTTTCTGCTTCACGTATTAATATATAGATTATACCTTCGTACACTCGAAAAACATTACCTCCTCCTTATGGGGAGCGACCGTTGAGAAATTATACGAAAAATTGGTAAATGAATAAAACAAACTCCGCTTAACCGTAAATAAACATTTTCCAGCTTACGAAATACTCATTTAAATACTGCTTTATCACAAATGTATTTTAATGAAGCGCAATTATACATTAGGGCTAATTCAATCCGTGGTTATCGCACCATCTCTTTCGAGGCGGCGTGTGTACTGGCTGGGACGCCGCCTTGGGTCCTGGAGGCGGAGGCGCTCGCTGCTGACTATCAGTGGCGGGCTGACGTTCGTGTCCGGGGCGTGGCGCGTCCCAGCCCAAGTGTGGTCAGAGCGCGGAGGGCCCAATCTCGGCGGTCCGTGCTGGAGTCATGGTCCAGACGGCTGGCCGATCCTTCGGCTGGTCGTAGGACCGTCGAGGCGATTCGCCCGGTTCTTGTGAACTGGGTGAATCGTGACAGAGGACGCCTCACTTTCCGGCTCACGCANAATTCAAATTAGACAAAAACATTAAAGGACCTACATCATTTATTCACAGTATTTACAGTGAACAGATCGTACCGTTCTTGAATTTACAGAGATCCCCGAGCCACGTTTCGTTGGAGACGGTTGATTTTTATACACAAACCGGGAATTAGGGAGTCTACGAAAATGCCTCAAGCATTTTCTTTATGTTGTAAAGTTTTTTTTTTTTTATAAATTACAAGTAATTTTCGTTTATGTCTGTCTACAAGTAACGTATGTGGAAGACCTTTTTTATTTTTTTATTGCTTATATGGATGGACGAGCTCACAGCCCATTAAGTAATTAATTAACAGTTAAGTGGTTACTGGAGCCCATAGACATCTACAACGTAAATGCGCCTCCCACCTTAAGATATAAGTTCTAAGGTCTTAGTATAGTTACAACGGCTGCCCTACGCTTCAAACCGAAACGCGTTACTGCTTCACGGCAGAAATAGGCAGAATGGTGGTATCTACCCGTGCGGACTCACAAGAGGTCCTAATATCAGTTTGTTAACCACCAGACATGTTAATGTGAAAACTAAAAAATATATTATTACATATTTTCGTTTATTAGGTGTGTCAAGAACAGAAAAACTTAGCCCCTTTTCTTACCTTACGTCCTGATCTATCGTTAGTAATCATCGTCGCTCATTAACATCGGCAAAATATATACCAATCCACTGCTTACTAATAAGAATGAATAAGAATGGGGGTTGGTGCTTCCCGCTTCCGTAGGTTTAACCCGCGATTCCCTACAAGTGACCCCTGGGTGGTGCAAAACGGGAGCCGAATACATAATCGGTGGTAGGACTTGTCCGACTGGCTGGCGACCACCCTCCAACTAGAGTCCGCCGCCAAATAGCCTAGCTGTGTTCCGGCGTGTGGGTTGGAGAGCCAGTTCTATTCCTTCCCTTTCCCCTTCCTTGCTGGGGGTGAGTCTTGGTGACGCCTGGAACATGCGNTCATCTAAGCAATAAAAAAAAAAAAAAAAAAGAAGTCTTTGCAAGGTTCGTTTGAAGAAGTATATTTCATAGTGCTAATGAAATAACGTCCAGAAAAGTTTTTTCCAGAGTAAAAATATCTTTTGAAATGCATTATGTATGAACGTAGCGGTCAGGTTATTCGAGCGTAGGTAATACGTAGGTGCGACGACAAATAGGAGATAGTTGTCACCTCAAAAACTCCCAAGAGGATACCGGAGTCCATAGGGACCAGAACACGAATATTATTATTATTATTTATTTATATTTATTTAAAATCTTATTAATTACATAATATTTTTTAAAAAAGATATTAAAAATACAATTAAACAAAAAAAAACACTATAAAAATAGATTGCTGCTGATGGCGGTGTCTACGACACAAGCCACCAGTGGTTAGGACACAGAGTGAGAAACCTCCTCACAATACGTGCAGTATCGAGGATAACTGCTTACTGTATTAGGCCTTTAACCCATCTGGATAACGAAAGTTTCTTAAAATGTTGATAGAAACTTTTCGCTATCAAGCCGTGTACCGACACAACTATTGGAACAATGATGGTTGAATCAACATACCGCATGGCGGTAGTTTCGTGGGCCAGGTTTAATAATAAATAAGGTTCGTTCATTCATTATTGTTAATAATGTTAGCATGTCTTAGCTCCGTAATATTATCGTAATTTAAAGTGAAGTCGAAAATTGAAGCGCTCACTGACGATTAACTCCTTATTTCAATTATAGCTGAACTGTCTTTCGGAATTTTCAAACTAACTCGAAACTTAAGTGGCCACGAAGGAGAAATTAAACTGTGAGATTGGATTTAAGCTGTTCTTTTCAAAATGGCCGTCCGAAATCAACATCTGTTGTTACAGACTCTGAAAATAGAGAAGCCTGTTTTATTTATTCTATAATAAGTTAGTATATTGCTTTGGTATTTTTTTCAACAATCCTGTTTTTGAAACAAACAAAAAATAGAAACGCGTTATTTAACTTCAAGAGAATTATGTCATAAGAATACCCTTATTTCATAAATTGATAGATTTAAATTGTGTGTTGTTTGTACATTCAATTTCATGATCCGAGGCTAAGAATCTAGTTCACGTTAAGATATGTTTAAAAAATTATCCGAAAACGATTCTACTGTCAAATTCAGCTCATTTATTTAACATTCAACTTGAAGACTTGATGAAAGATCGAAAGAGAGAATGTAAAATGTATTTTTCATTTTATATTAGATTTTTTTAAAGCTTTGTTTGATAATCATGCTTTAGTAGCTTTTATATTGACACTATTCCCCTCTTATGCATCGTATTCCTCTCTGCTCATCGTTTGCTGGAAGAAAACTCATGAATGAGTTAAGCTCGCCTTTGTACATACTATTTAGACTTTTTTTTTTTAAATCTGTTTTTCTTAATCTTAACTTCGTATTGGTATTACAATACATTTTGTTAAGCTTTGATTCAAACCAGGATATACATTACGAGTCTTGTCTCTTACAACGGGAGTCCAACTTCGTATCGAAATGCACGATTGCTTTTAGACAGAAATAGACCAGTGCCGATCCGTGCAAGTTAATTAAGCGTGTCGCCCCTATGTGATGGAGGCTGGTTGAATAGTAGGTATGGGGAGGGATGCGTGTTTGCGAAGGTAAGTTGTTACGGCGTGATAATTATTACCTACTGTTGAATTCTCTCTACAAAATTGAATCGCAGTTTGTAAGATTAGCTATTTTGTCACTTCAACATTTGGCTCTAATCGCTTTGTAGTAAATTGCAGTCGTAACTCAGCGTTTTTATTAGAATTTCTCGAACTCTATGGTCATGCCTACAAAAAAACAAATTCCATGCGCGGGAAAAGAAGCATAGGCCTAATTATAAAATAAATATTTTTTCCTTAAGGTCATTAGTTAGTGAAGACTCTCTCGGGCGCAAGGACGTTTCTCAAAACGTAATCCTTTTCTATAAAGAATGCATATATGCTTGATTAAATGTAAACTGATCGTATTTTTCATTATTCTCGATTAACCTATCCATAACTTCCAACACCTACTAAGTTCAGAATGTTATTATCACATCATTTTATATATCGTTGTCACCAATGAATATCACGGCACTCTAAAGAAACTTAAATAATGTGTATTTGTCTTAGATGCTTACCTTCAACGAGCATCCAGAAGAAATTCGTTAGATAAAAATAATGCATGCATATAACTAAGATCATGCATGACGTTTGATCTTGCTGTGCCTCGTCGGACCAATTCTGCGAAAAGAAATGACGTCATCGGTTTATATTACGTAAAATAGCTATTCATAATAGACATGTTTGTTAGTCTGTTCATTCGATGGTCTTTCATTTACATCTGACCGCTTTGGTTTGTTCGTTTAATATATATGAAATATTGAAGCACTTATAAGCTAAGCTTTTGAGCCGCTTTATTTCCTAATCAAATTGAATAATTTGATGTTTTTTTTAAGAATTCATATTAAAATTATTGTGCGGTATACTTGAAATTTTAACATAAAAACGTTTTTAGTAATCAGTGCTGTTAATAAAAACTATGCTTAATTTCATAACAGTTNATCTGTCTACAAGTAACGTATGTGGAAGACTTTTTTTGTTGCTTATGTGAATGGACGAGCTCACAGCCCACCAGGTATTAAGTGGTTACTGGAGCCCATAGACACCTACAACGTAAAATCTGCCACACACCTTGAGTTATGAGATCTAAGTTCTCAGAATAGTTACAACGGCTGCTCCACCCTTCAAACCGAAACGCATTACTGCTTCACGGCAGAAATAGGCAGCGTGGTGGTACCTACCCGTGCGGACTCACAAGAGGTCCTAATATCAGCTTGTTAACCACCAGACATGTTAATGTGCAAACTAAAAAATATTGTATTACATATTTTCGTTTATTAAGTGTGTCAAGAACAGAAAAACTTAAGCCCCTTTTCTTACCTTACGTCCCGATCTATCGTTAGTAATCATTGTCGCTCATTAACATCGGCAAAATATATACCAATCCACTGCTTACTAATAAGAAGTCTTTGCAAGGTTCGTTTGAAGAAGGATATTTCATAGTGCTAATGAAATAACGTCCAAAAAAGTTTTTTCAGAGTAAAAATATCTTTTGAAATGCATTATGTATGAACGTAGTGGTCAGGTTATTCGAGCGTAGGTAATACGTAGGTGCGACGACAAATAGGATAGTTGTCACGTCCAAAATTCCCAAGCGGATACCGGAGTCCATAGGGTCCAGAACACGAATATTATTATTATTATTATTTATTTATATTAATTTAAAATCTTATTAATTACATAATATTTTTTAAAAAAGATATTAATAATACAATTTTTAAAAAACACTATATAAAAATAGATTGCCGCTGATGGCGGTGTCTACGACACAAGCCACCAGTGGTTAGGACTCCAGAGTGAGAAACCTCCTCACAATGCGTGCAGTATCGAGGATAACTGCTTTCTGTATTAGGCCCTTAACCCAGCTGGATAACGAAAGTTTCTTAAGATGTNTGGTTTGTTTGTTTAATATATATGAAATATTGAAGCACTTATAAGCTAAGCTTTTGAGCCGCTTTATTTCCTAATCAAATTGAATAATTTGATGTTTTTTTTAAGAATTCATATTAAAATTATTGTGCGGTATACTTGAAATTTTAACATAAAAACGTTTTTAGTAATCAGTGCTGTTAATAAAAACTATGCTTAATTTCATAACAGTTGTTTTTAAATAGAAAAAAGAATGAATCTCTATGTTTTACTGGAGCATCGAAACTCCATATTCACAGACATTGCACGTATCAGACACGTCGTGTTTGCAAAGAGTTAAACACTGTTAAATACATTACGTACGTATTCACACCTAGCTACGACCTAATGTATCGGTCTGTTACAGACCGGGAGCATTACACATTCTTAGCGAGATGCTTTGTCTGAATGTAGTCGGAAAAGTTTATTTTAAAATGTTTAGATATCTTAGAATTTTCTAGTTGTTACTAGCTACATGCTGGTTGTCAGTCTTATGCTAACAGTACTGTCGCAGAAACCTGATGTGCCATTAATAATCTGATGATCGACCAACAAACAAATTGAGCGCGAAGAACATAGTAATAATTGTTTTTAAGCATTAGATAGTTCACTATATCGAAATGAGAATATTTGATTTGAGTGATTTTTCTATCAAGTCTTAGGAAAATAGCTGTTAGGACTTGGAAGTGCTTATCACACATTTAAAAAAAAAAAACAGTAAAGTGACAGACGTCAAATATTCAAATGAGTCTTTTTCTAAATTAAGTTTTGATTACAAAACGAACGTATGATTTGAATAAATATTTCTAACATTAAAAACCATTTTCACGTTCAAGATCGAATTCTATTATATAGATGTCAGGACCATATACAGAACAAGAAAAATACGCTAGGATCTTTCAGAAAGATAATATTATTATTATCTGAGAACTCGGGAAGCCCGCACGGTTGTTACTGTCACCCTGCATATTTCTGCCGTGAAGCTGTAATTCTGGTTTCGGGGTGGGACGATTTTTAAACAATACAATTGAGACTTTGACCTCATGTTTCAATGCGTGGCAGTATCTTTATTTTGATGCCCATGGGCTCACCGGGTAGACCGTGATTTCATCTAGCTATGTAATTAAAAAATATACACTCATTTAGATCGTTCAGCTTATTTATTCAAAGAGGATCGATGTCTGATATTTATTGTTATGTTATTTTAGTCTATAGTGTCATATTTTGGCGTTTCATTTTCACAAATTCAATATAAGAAATTTGGTTATATATCCATCATCAACTATTCTAACTTTATTTGTAGAAATAAAGCTATCATTTTTAGCGTTGTTATCGAAAAAATGGTTTTTAACTGTTGTAAATTGATATTATTAATACGTTTAGGATAGTTGTTAAGAATTAAAGCATCCGAGTTTAACTGTATCTACTGTAATTAGTAGTTAGTCATTGTCTATGTTGTATACATTTTTTATATGTTACTTTGTTTTACTTATTACATTTTCAAGATTACTTTGTTGTACAATTTATGAAAAACTTGCAAAAAGAAAATGTATTTCATTATACTGAAACCTCATTCATTAAGAATATGTATAGCTTAAATTAATTTTAAATTTCAAGTCCTTGGCTAAAAAGAGAGCACCATTCTAATATTTGTTTCAAAGTCTTATTTATATACATACTTACTTGTAAAGCTAAATTTAATATCCAACTACAAGCCGACAGTATATATGTGGTCATTAAATTTGTATGTATCGTGTTTCTTAAGCATCTTAGATCCCTGTAACAAAAAACACGGTTAGAGTTTTTTTTTCTAAATTTTTTTATTTTTTTTTATTGCCATTGTTGGCAGACGGACATACGACCCACCTGATGGTGAGTGGTTACCGTCGCCAATGGACTTTAGCAATGCCAGGGGCAGAGCCAAGCCGCTGCCGACCGCTTAATACTCTCCATTTATGTATTTTCTGCTATTGCTTAAATGGGTGAATGAGATCACGGCTCACCTTGTAACCATAGTACATAGACATTAACAACTTAAATGCCACCACCCACCTTGAAACCTGAGTTCTAAGTCTCAAATTTATGTACAAATAACGATTGCCCCACCCACCAAATCCAAATGCAAAGTCAGAGTGGTGGTACCAAGCCGTGCGGGCTCACAGGACGCCCTACCACCAGTAAGATGTTCTTGATGACATTCATAATATTCTTAAAATCAAGTGAAAAACGATAAGGTTAATATTTGTGTTTTTATAATATCGTAAAAAGTTAAAAGAAACAAACTGATTTTTATTAAATATAGTATTTCTAGGTCCCTGAAGCATAAATTTTTTCTCCAAATTAATTGACTGATTGACATAATGATAGCTAATATTGACATAGAGTGGTTACTACTGTATTGATATAATTATGTGTTTCTAATTCATTTCCTTTGTATATTTAATTAATTGAATTAGTATATTGTTCATTTTCTATTTGTATTGTTGAACTGTTTGTGTGCTGACTATTGTATTATTATTATTTTATGNTGACTGATTGACATAATGATAGCTAATATTGACATAGAGTGGTTACTACTGTATTGATATAATTATGTGTTTCTAATTCATTTCCTTTGTATATTTAATTAATTGAATTAGTATATTGTTCATTTTCTATTTGTATTGTTGAACTGTTTGTGTGCTGACTATTGTATTATTATTATTTTATGGATTTTTTCTGAAATAAATGTTTTAAAAAAAAAAAAAAAACTTAATTTCTCATTTAGGTTCTTAGTAAATGAGTAAAAACTAAATTGGTATTTACTCATATATTATATATATAATATTTAGCAAATCCTAATCTTATAGTAGCTTATATCGCTGTAGCTACGACAAAGACGTGTTCACACTGTTCACGAAGAACTGCCATTTTTTTTGAATAATCAATAATCGAATAAAATAAAATTATGTTTTATATATATTGCTGATTTAAAAAAGATGTTAATAGCTCATTCCAATTGTAACACAATCATTAAAACTATCCTTTATTGTAATTACTGTTGATTTACTATTATTAAAGAACTATCTCATGATTAAAACACTCACTTACTTTTTTACTGGTGGTAGACCTCTTGTGAGTCCGCACGGGTAGGTCCCACCGCCCCGCCTGTTTCTGCAGTGAAGCAGTAATGCGTTTCGGTTTGAAGGGTGGGACAGCCGTTGTGATTATACTGAGACCTTAGAACTATATCTCAAGGTGTGTGGCGTATTTACGTTGTAGATGTCTATGGGCTCCAGTAACCACTTAACACCAGGTGGGCTGTGAGCTCGTCCACACATCTAAGCAATAAAAAAAAAACTCAGATTTTATGATCAATATCATCATTAACTTTTTACTTTTAATACAGTTGTTCGAAGTCGTCGCAAGCTATGCCATTGGAGCTATGGACACTGTAATGTGAATAAACAAACAGGAGAGCAAGACGACTTCGCAATAGGAACAGGTGTCATAGCTGTATCTTACCTTGTACCGAACCGTGTTAAGATATATCTAATAAAGTGAACATTGTATCGTACAGTGTAAGCCCGGGTGTTCAATCTAAATCGAACACACTATAGTGAGTTTAAGACCAGGACTTTATCCTGTGTTACGCACATACAAAATCAGAACAGTAACCCTGACATCGAATACTAAAAGTTAAGCTATTGCATAGCTTTTATCGCGGGCTTTGAGCGCCGGGACCGAATCAAGAAATTCCGTAACGAAAATAAAACCTAACACCCCCACTCCGCCTACCATGTAGCTTGCATTCAACACATTCACTCGTTGCGCTTGCGTAGTGTTTGTGCATAAGCGCGCGGCGTGACGTCGCACTGCATGGGCGTCATGCAAAGTATGCCCATCTCTCTCCGGCGCGGTCTAGCTTATGAGTGTGAAGGGGGCAGTATTGTTTTGCTTTTGTTAATGTTTATAAATATAGCGTGGTCTTATTTTGTTATTGTTTTAATATTAAATTATTATTGTCTATTTATAACTGCATAAGTTGATAAAAAATGCTATGCAATAGCTTTACCGCGGCAGTCCCCGAGTGCCATACGTTTTTTTTTAATAAAGATCCTAGTGGTGGGGGGTAATTAACCGATTATTAACGACATTTTACGTAGAGGACATTAGGTCACAGGGATTGTTATCAATGCGATGGGCTTACCAGATCGGTTCTCCTTTAAGATAGTGAAATGCTCTGAGGCAAATCAGATTAGCCGGTATAAATACGTTACGCAAGATCGTTTTAGCCATAGCGAATCGTCTGATAAGGCAATGTCTTCATCGTAGTAATCTAGATTCAATCGCGTAGCAGACCCGAAACCGACTCACGATGCATTGTAATTAACCAAGAAATTACACGGTTTTTTGAAATGAAAGTGATTTATCAACGCAGAAATTTGTTTGCTCACGCGTCATATTCTTATCAATGCTTTGACTTGTTGACGATAGGACGGTTTGTCCGCCCGCATCGATAAGTTTTTTTTTTGCTAAGATGGATGGACGAGCTTACGGGCCATCTGGTGTTTTTTAAAAACGGAACACTTTACAGACCGGAACGTGCTTTTTTAATGCTTTTAAACCTTTTTGACAGGTTCGTTTGTTTTGAATGACAGTTTCCGTTGCATCGTACCTACGCTAAAAAATGGTTTATCCAAATGTTGGAACCGAAATGGAATGTTATCGCTTCGGTTCCTAAAAAATTACTGACCGAAGGTGATGGTTTTGTTAAACAGATTTTTTTATACTTACTTTTCAATAATGACAAAACTGAATAATAAAATTAGTGAATCCGTTTAGATTCCAATCGAGCCGAAGCTAAAACGAAAATTCAATCAGAGCACTCCGCTGTGGGATGACTCTCGAAGCGATTAATTACGTCACAGATACGGTGACTACACAACCGTAGTACATACATCGTAACGTTATTTTGTATGAGTTTTAGTTGGCACTTTTATGTACGGAGATAATTTATTGAAAAAAAAAAACGTAATTGAACACTGTGTTTTGTTTTAATGGTCTATTTGGTATTAGGATTATCGACGCAAGAAGGAAGGAAACGACGAAAAATAAATTAATATCATTTCGTATTATAGATAAATATGGGTAGTTTTTCATAGAATTTTAGTTTATAATTTTGAACTGGTTCAAATAAAAACCGCCGCCTAAGTCAGCGTTTTTATTATTTGTAATAATTAATATCTATACTAATATTATAAAGAGGAAAGATTTGTTTGTTTGTATTGAATAGGCTCCGAAACTACTGAACCGATTTGAAGAATTCTTTCACTGTTTGGAAGCTACACTATTCCCGAGTGACATAGGCCAATATAATCTTTTTTGAAAAAAATTAGGGATTGTTACTAAAACTCTAATAATGTAACTCAAGGTGTAAAAGAATTACCTAAAATATTCTTTACATCGCGTGCCCTGCGAAAACTATTGATGATAGAATAAAATAATGTACTACGACTTTGTAGAACACATTATCATTTACAAAAAGTGTCCCGACAGCATATTTTTAACTATTATAGTTATGCCGCAATAAGTGTTATTTTATTTTAAAAAATAAAACAACGTCAAATATCGTTGAAATTTTTGTTAAAGACCCGAGCGGAACCGGAGCGGAACGCTTGTTTCTAATAAAGATCTACCCGGTATATACAGTGTTTATAAAAGCGAAAATTCGTAGTGATATCTCATACCACGCCTTAAGGAAAAAGTCGATTCGAATATTTTATTGGTAGAAGCTCTTTGAGTTGTATAGAAGCCAAACAATTTCCTTATAGTTTAGTCTGTCTGTTTGATATTATTTATAAAGGATTGCATTAGTTTAATAATCAAAAAGAACGTCAGCGATCGTAAAACGTATAACTTATTGTTAATATTGTTTTATCTGAGTAGCGTTCTATGTTAGTCACCCATATGTTCATCGACATGTAGTAATTATTTGAAATAGAACTACTATTTATTTATTTTGTGACATAAATAATTTATTTTGTAACAAAGTAAATAAAACTATTTATTTTGTTACATAAATAATGAAAATTACCTATAATGAAGTACCTATATTTAATATTATGTGTATTCTATAATACTGAGATGTTATTTTATGGAAGAATTTTGTTTTGAGTTTGTTCTTTTTTTTTGTTTTGTTGTTGTTGTTTGTTATTCTTTTGTTAATGCACCTACCATGTATTATCTCTGCACCACCTTATGGTCGACTGGAAGAGAATGCCCATGGCATTAAGTCCGCCTGTGTACAAGTTTTGTTTTGTGCATAAAGTATAAAATAAATAAATAAAATAAATAAATTTACGAACGTTCACTTAAACGCAATTGCGGGTCAGCTAATCAACACATGTACAAAATGTGTTCGATACACGTGTTTGCCTACATTTAAATAACTGCTTTAATTAACGTGACATCAACAGCCTAACTGAAAACAATGTATTTTAATGTTAAAATGTTAAAGTAATTTGATTTTAAATCAGCAAACCGTCTAAATTGACTACTGGCGTGTAAAAAAGACATCAACACACTCCACGTCATTGCTTAGAAGCTTTTGTTAAAATACGAAAATTATTCACCGGCTTTACATAAAATGTCTAGTCGTTTTATTAAATCACTTTAGCTTGGTGATTTGGGTCGAAAGTTATTAAGGTGCAGACAGCTACGAGCTCTGAGTACCGAGCGTTCGGTTGTATATTACAATTAGAGAATTAATTGAGTTGAATGCAACATAGTATAATACAATTGTTAAGGGCTGCTTTTTTTTTTGTCCTACCTAAGCTGATAGCCTTGCGAGGCTATATCAGCGTCGCCTTAACTAGTAGGTGAGCTCACGGGGCTCAACCTGATGACGTTGCTAACACGAACCCTAGCAAGAGCCGTGCTTCGCAGAATCTACCACCGGATCAGAAACGTGACTCACTGAGAAGATCCGGCGAGAAACTCAGTGGGCTGTGTCTGAGGGTTAATTTACTCGTCGAGCCCTTCGTCGCCAGCGACGGGTTCGACGAGGACGATGACCGGAACGGCTGCCTAGGTGAGCAGCTTGTATTGAGAATTCTGTTCTTATCAAAACATTACGTGTAACTTTGCGTGAATATTCACAGTTATATTTTGGGTTATACATACATGCATTGTTCGCCTTAATAAGTGAAACATTATTTATTAGCTTTGCCTTAAATATGATAGGTTAAGCGAACATTTTGTTACGTTTTTACAGACTATTGAAGTTTCATATAAACCTTAGAAAATTTTGATATTAAAAATATCGTAGAACGGTATCGAAGCCAGCGGATTAGTTCGTCAGCTTCGATACGTAAAACAAGCTACACTTTTTAGGGGGGTTTGGGTAATTACGTCAGCATAATCTTATACAGCGTTTAATAATTACATTTATACATAGGGTAAAGACAACAATTAAGAAAAGTCGTTTAAGTAAAACATGTTATAAAATCGATAATTATTTGACAGATAGAGCGAGTCAGAATGAGATTCTTGCAACAGTTTCAATACTTTTATTTTTACACGCTTTATATTAGCTTCACTTGAATGTATGTTTGTAACTGACTTCTTTAGACGCGGCTTTGACCCACTTTAAACGGCCAGATTTCATTCAAACTTTGTAGATGTATCGAGGACCGATGACAATACACTAATTTGATAATAAAGTCGTATCTATGTAACAGATTTTTAATAAAAACACGATTTTACGCAAAATTATTTAGTATAAAAACAGACGGACAGAATTTAATAATAAAAAATTGCATTCTTTACTCTGGTTTAGTTACTACCTTCGTATTTTTACTACATATTTAAAAACGTACACACCGGGCTTTACTGTTTTAATTTATGTATTGATGATATAGGTAAAAAAGATAATCCTAGTCACGTTTAGTTATACGGTTATATGTATTTGGTATATATGTATACGGTATAACCGAATATGGTGTGAACTCGCGCGTGTACGTCAATAGTTACTACACCCCAAACTTCGCTGGAAGCGCCAACAACTGTACAGAGCTTCGAAACAATCAGATGCGTGCTTATAGAGCGTGCTCTACACAAACAAACAAACCTATAAATTAAATTCGGTAAATTAAATTATTCAACAAAGCTAGCAGAAGTTGTACAGTATATGCGTATAAAGCTGTACTCTATTTTATTAAATTATCGCTACGGAAAACAGGCTGATTGTATGCAAATTTTTATGCTTGGTCTGATTTTATTCTTCTTCTTGTCCTTATCCCACATTATGTGGGGTCGATATGTCCTCTTATCATACGGTATAGGGATATGGCATGAGTTTTACGATCGACCGTGGGCTTAACGTCAACCCTTTTTGGGTTAAATCTCACCATTTTTACTGGTGGTAGGACTTTTTGTGAGTCCGCACGGGTAGGTACACCACCATCCCGCCTATTTCTGCCGTTAAGCAGTAATGCGTTTCGGTTTGAAGGTTGGGGCAGCCGTTGTAACTATACTGAGACGTTAGAACTCATATCTCAAGGTGGGTGGCGGCATTTATGTTGTAGATGTCTATGGGCTCCAGTAACCACTCAACACCTGGTAGGCTGTGAGCTCGTCCGCCTATCTAAGCAATAAAAAAAAACGTATCCATTGCAACGTGCCATAAGGTTGATACATATGTACGTACATTAATGGACTTTCACTGTTTCATCTTTGCGTTTGATCGATGTAATAATAAACGACGACTTACTTAAAATACAAGAAGACGAAGACGGCCAGCGATAAAACTGCGAGACTGAGAGAGTATCCCGTCAAGTATATGAGACTGGCCACGTCCGTGGGTGAGACATTAGCAATCCGCTCCGTGCAATTCGAGTAGTCGGTGTAGTTCTGCCAAACACCGTCCAGACACAGACGAGAAGCGTTTTCTGTTGTAAGATAATTTACATTATTGGTTAGTATATTACAATAGCTATATAATATATCGACGCTTGAAAGGCAAACGTGACTAAGCGACAATGCGTGAACTTTACAGTAGACTAATTTAAAGTTGAAATACCTGAAAAAAATTCTATTTTAACGAATCTAGCTGTAGGATTGAAATGATTTTAATAGACCTAGAAATATTTTTTTTTTGCGCATCGAATATGGTTATTGCCTATCATTTATGTATAAAGCAGTTATTGTCGCTTAGTCAGATTTGCCTTTCAAGCGTCGATATGTATTATAAAAATTGAGACCTTAGAAGTCATGTTTCAAGGTGGATGGCGGCATTTACGATCTAGTTGTCTATGGGTTCCGGAAACCATTTAACACCTGGTGGACCGTGAGCTCTTCCATCCACTTAAGTAATAAATAAACATAAAATTGTTAAAAATTCTATAGATTGGTCGTAAGAAACTGATTTTTTTTTGGTAATTACGTTGTATTACAAAATATCAAGTTCTTGATTATACTAGTTGTAAATTATAATTAATGCCAATGGCGATTGAATTTGGAATTCATTATTCTAAGACACAAAACAAACAGAAGAAAAATACATTACAGTTTAGTTATTGGGATTATATGAATTAATGATGTAATATTTTATTGATTATTTTTTGAAATTTTGTAGTATCTTTTAATTTACATTATACTAAGATTAGAAATTGGAAATTTTATTTTAATAGTTAGCCTTTCATTCATAATTAGATTCAAGTTTAAAATATTCTACAAAATAATGTTGAGAAAGTTAAGATTAAAATTATTTCAAATAGTATTTGAATACGCCTAAAATATTCGAAACTTTGTCGACAAACGCTCAAAGTTAAATCGAGAGGAAAATTTATTCCACAAATCCGTATTATTTTCAGTTTCAGTTTTCTTCACTATTGTTCCAAAGCTCGAAAATATTAAATATTAGGCGAAATTAATGAGTAACTAATAAAAAATATTTCTGAAAAAAAAAAAACCAGTGCGATTATATTATGTTTGTCCTCTACGTACTACGGAATGAAAAATGGAAAAACAATGTAATGGGTTCCAAAGCGCTTTGTGTGTTATCTGAGCGTAGGCGTTTTAACAAACCGTTTAAAAACTCGATAATTTTTGTAATAACAACGTAAGGGGCAAAATTGTATCTACTGTTTGAAAATATAGGTTAAAAAACAAAAAAACTAAAGCTTTTTGTTTCAAATAATGCTCACGTATTGATCTGTATTAAAAACCTATTAATTTTGTATTCGCACATCTGTAATTTTTTGGATTTTGCGTGGATTTTATTCTGTTTATACGAATAAATTACTGATGGTAGGACCTCTTGTGAGTCCGCACGGGTAGGTAACACCACCCCACCTATTTCTGCCGTGAAGCAGTAATGCGTTTCGGTTTGAAGGATGGCGCAGCTGTTGTAATTATACTGAGACCTTAGAACTTATATCTCAAGGTGGGTGGCGCATTTATGTTGTAGATGTCTATGAGCTCCAGTAACCACTTAACACTAGGTGGGCTGTGAGTTCGTCCACCCATCTAAACAATAAAAAAAATGTTTTTGGAAGTTCCAGTATCTGATCTGTATTGTAATGCAATAAATTTCAGAAATTAATATTTGAAATGTTACCACTTACGTGTTTCATCGTATTTTATTCCGAAAAATTCTTTAAAGCATTTCTGGACGGCGACCGTGTGGCTCGGCGTCGGGTTCCAACACAACAATCCATCAAAATATGCCGGGCAGTAGTATTCTGTGAGATTAGCGTTCCTCGCCAAGCACTCGGTCCTTGCAGTCGCATTTTCGATAACGCTTTCTGCGCTTTCTAAAGTCTGTAAGTCCTCCAGTTTGCCGTCAAAAATGTACTATCAATTAAGAATTGCAGCTAAATCAGCTTTGGTTTGTTCTTTGGCTTCACTTATCAATACGACACAATCACTATTCGATCGGAACTAGAACTGGCTCATCCATCCCGATTCCTTTCACTGAAACGGGCTCAGGTATTTCTCGTGTTACACTAGATCGCGCCGGAGTCTGTATCGCAGCTCGGAGTCTTCATGAGAATGTTACCATGATAAAAATGTTTACACGCGGCTTGTGTTCTAACTTATCAAGTGATAACGCTCCGAAAGTAAACATCGGCAGTCTGCAGAAGTATTTGCGTATCGTACAAGGAACTTTCGTTTTTGCTTCAATTATGGCGGTGTCATTTAACATTTCTTGCCCGTATAACCTGCAAAGTAACAAATTCTGGTCATATTGTCATTACGATAAGACTGTGTAAATGGTGAATACACGATTTGTGTTAGAGTATTTGCTCCACACTGTGTGCTCTTTGATAAATAACCTTTCAATGATAGCTGCGATCATGCAGAGATAACCTTGTTACAAATTTTTGTTTTCTTTTTTTAGAGCAAATGAATTCATAAAATACTAGTCTCTTAATGCACTTATGTATTTAGTACGTTCTAACAAGAAATTTAAATATTAACAATTATTTTTCATTCATCACCTAAATAAGGATTACAGTTTATGTATGAAATGTAATTATACATAGTTCCTTGTTACGTAATTAACATGTTGGTAATGTATGATGTAATCAATGCCGAGTACTTTCCCGTCATAGATATGCTATTGTGATTAAACATGTAATTAAAATGGCTGATTTTAATTAAAACAAGGAATAGCATGGGCAGGTAATTAGTTATCGATTAGTTTTGGATTAGTTGTCTCAATAATTATTGGCGAATATATGTTTCTGTTTATTTAGTACATATATTTGTTAATAATAATATAATAAATATTTACTAACAATCACACCACGTTAACTGGTCCCGTGCTAAGTTCGTAAAGAACTTGTATTACAGTTACCAGATAACGGAAATAAATATAAGATTTTTATTATACACATACATATATTTAATAAACATCCATAACCCTGGAAAAGACATTTTATATTTATCATACAAATATCTTCCCTTGGCGGGTTTCGAACCCGCGACCCCCTTTTGTAGTGACCATGTCACTTACCATTATACCAGACGGCCGTTAATGTAGTCTTATAGTCTTTTATGGTGGCCGCCACTAATTACATATCCGACCTAAGAGACCGGGGAACGCAAAGCCGCCGTCACCCAAAACATGTCTTGTCGGATACCCCGGATCCACTCTCGGTGCTTTAAGGCCCCTCAAGAATAGGTCACCGTCCTTGTCTAACTCGTCGTTTACGACGAAGAGAAGACGTCTGAACGGTCGAAGGATCAGTTGAAACGGTCGGTTCGCTCTTTTGTCAACTATTGAAGTGAAAGTTCTTTAGAATCGTTGGGTGTGATTTCAAAGTCGATGAAACGAAAAAATGAAACGTGAAGTTAAAATATAAATTCACACAGGGCGGTACCTCATACTATAAAAGATTATTTACAATTATTTCTATTTAGTTTGTTATCAACAGATGTCGCTGCACGTAAATTCAACAATTCCTGAATCGCGATGACCAGATGTTACACAGTTGATAGACGTTCTCGTATTAGATATCGTGATAACGGAGACGGTTACCACCGGGTGAGGCTGCCCCATTGCATTGTGGAGTGGTTAGTTTTTGACCCCTGCGATTATTCTTATTTATATTAAGTTTCACATCTACCGTGTGTGACTTGCTTGCACAGACACACACGTTTTTTTTTTATTTGTATATGAGAACAGTCGGTTCGTTCCTTGTTGCCTAATGCCTTTGTGTCCGTCTTAAGGAAGTCAAAAAATGTGCTGCCTGCCCCTAGTCACGTACGCCCTCGTTCCATTTCTTTTCGAATTCTTGTCAAGTTTCTTAGTCTGTGTCTATGTCTAGTCGTTGTAGGTCTTATGTCCTGTCAAAGAGGTTGCACGCCACGACAACGACTAACCCTGAAGTGAACTAACCCATAGACACAACTTATTGGCTTTCTCACCGGATCTTCTTACCGATCTGGTGGTAAATTCTGCGAAGCACTGCTCTTTGAGCTCACCAAGTGTATAATCTATGAGCTCACCTACCAGCCAGCGCGTAGTTGGAATAGCTTTTTAGGCTACCAGCGAGTAGGTAGGGGAAAAAAAGATGTGTGGTGTCGTGGGACATCGGATAGGAACAAAGTTCCTTGTTATAAAAATATTAATTAACGTTCTATTCGAGGTATAAAGAAAATTCGGTTATACATTTTTTATTATGATTTTTTTATTGATAAAAATTAAAATAATCGCAAGATTCAACCACTCCGCAGTGCAATGGAGCAGCCTCGCCCTGGGGGACCCGCCTACTTGATCACGGTATCCCTCCGCATCGTCCCATAAGGAACTTCGTTCCAAAAAGAAAAGAAAAAGTTATAAGGTAGCGTTCTATGCAAAATTCATTCAAATAGGATGATGATATTGTGTTTTTTAATTTTAGTACCAGAATAAGATATCATTAATGTAACAGTCAGGGGGTGTGATAAGCACAATTAATATTTGCTATAACTGAATACTTTGATTAATAGCAGTCATGGTCCGAGAAAATCGGCTGTCCTTCACATGCGTATGACAGATACAACAGATATCGACTACAATGTCTTTAAGTTTTCTCATAGCTAAATGTACTCAGGCAATGAGCCTTCGAAGTCATTATGGCCTAAAGGGTAACATGCTTGGTGTTCTGGTATCAAGCGATGCGACTGTGCTGGTGTTTCAATCCCGCAGATAGGTACCAATTTTTCTATTGTAATATTTAAGACACGTTCAGGATTGACTTCCACGATGAAGGAATAATAACGCGTAATAAAGATCGAAGCCTCAAAAATATTAATTTGCGTAATCACTGGTGGCAGTGTATGTTATGAGCTTGTATGAGTGGGGACCACCATTCTACCTGTTTCTGTCGTGAAGCAGTATTGAAAGGTAGGACAGCTGTTACACTATACACTTGAGACTTAGATCTCATGTCTCAAGGTGCTTGGCGACATACACGTAAGTGTAGTGTGAGTTCGTTAACCCATCTAAGCACTAAAGAAAAATGTTCAAGAACGCTAACCATTGTATTGAATTTTCTTGCCCTTGCTCAAGAGCTGTTTTTGCAATTATCAAAGAAAAAACATTTTTCAAATAAGTTGTACTGAGTATAAAAGTGATTTAAGTTTTGTGACCGAGAGATAAAATCTGGGTCCTCCGATAAGCACTTAAGTTAATTATCGTTAAGTTTAACATTTTCCAAAAAGTAGGTAGGCGTAAAATTTACTTTGGTCTTGGAGTCTTTTGGATTATGTTTCGATAACAAAGACTTAGTTTGCAAATTCTTTTCCAATCCTTTTAATGAATATAGAAACTGTTCTATCTCTATAATCGCTGAAAGTACCTCTCGTGTTGAATGATTCAAGAAAACTGTCACACATTAGTTATATAATGGTCACAGCAATCTCTGAGTTATGATCCAACCCGGGTTGCTTCGTTGTTGATGTACCATTCACGAAAGAAAGAAAAAACAGACTTTTACAAAAATAAATGTCAAAGAATTTCAATGGCTTATTTCAAAGAAAGGGAAGCAGCAACTGTTAATTACGATTTATTGAAGTTGAATTGTAATTAAAATTTACATCGACGATTTTATCGTTTTCCTGTTCTTTGATGTTCGATTTCACGAAGACCGGATTAGGATTACCGGCATTATTGAATTTTCTTAGTTGAGATTCGAGTAGTCGACTTTTGACTATTTGAGTTGGTAAGGAGATTCCGTGGTCAGCAACATCAACGGGCTGAACAATTTTAAAAGAACTAGCTAGAAAAAGTAGCAAGAGTAAAATTTCCACGAAGACACAAATAAATATCAAAATACAGAAAATTAATAAAATGCGGAATTTGTATGTATTGGTATTTGAAAATCTTAATTTTGTTGTAAATGTATAAAATAATAAAATCTAAATTTCGGTACCAAAAACGGATGAAGTTAAAGAGATAAATAAAGTCCCTCCATATATATATTTTATTGCTTAGGTTGGTGGACGAACTTACGGCCCATTTGGTGTTAAGTGGTTACCGGAGACCATAGACATCTACAATGTAAATGCCACCACCTCCTTTGAGATATGAGTTCTAAGGTTTCAGTTTTTACAGTGCAACGGCTGCCCCGCCCTTCAAACCGAAACGCACTACTGCTTCACGGCAGAAATAGGCAGGGTGCTAGTACCTACCCGTACGGAGTCACGAGATGTCCTAACAGTAATTACGCAAATTATAATTCCATCACAAAAATTGGTACTTGTCTGCGGAATTCGAACATCGTTGCATCGCTAGATACCAATGGACCTGACGTTTTATCTTTTAGGCCACGACTATTTTAAAATAAATATACTACTGGAGATATAGCCCAGAGAGGATTGACGTGAGGCAGACGGCCGGTCATAAAACTCATGTTAAATCTCTATGCAGCATGAAAGAACATGGTGTGCCAACCCCACATATATGTATATAATAAGGAATATGGGCAAGAAAAAGATTTAGAAAAGTTGTCTAGCTGCGGAAATCACCCCGAAAAGTATCAGATTTATCAGAAGTATCAGATTTATATCATTTCAAGCTTATTTTTTGGTAGAGGGCCGAACTTAATGTCGCGGTGTTTGCGCCTAGGAGCCGCGAAGAGTATGTGGGACTTGACGATTTGCAGATGTTAGGAGCAGAACGCCGGCTCAAGGATGTTTTATGGTCCTACGAACTAAACGACTCTCCTTGCACACTTTTACCCGATTTCCGACCTCTGCCAAGGCCCGCTATCCCTAAGATGTTCGACTGACGAATCGTCCAGGCAATACTGGACGATTCTACGTCCGTCCCTCTGTAAGGCAGCTCGTTAGGCCACCTCAGGCTGTGCAGCTGGTCTTCCCGAATACGCCGCTGTACCGGAATATCGCGTTTAACCACGATATGTGGCCAACTGGACGACACTTCAAGGTGGCCATTTTAATATCACTTGCCATACTTTGGCACAGAATTTTTTTGGTAGTTTTCTAAAAGATAAAGGTATTTAGCTTGTAAGTAATAATTATGTAATGTGTAGGATATCTATTAATACATTGTAAAAATGAAAGTTAAAGTTTAAATGTAAAAACATATTACATCGATTCCCTCGAATTGGCGTTCAAATTACCCTGATTTCTGTTAAAACCAGATCTAATTTAACTTCCTCAAAGAAATTTTATAACTTAATAATAACCGAAAGTCTAAACATACCGTTGA